AATTATGAAATCAAGGTAGCAAACGAATCGAAAAATAACCCCAAAGCTTTTTATCAACTGTATAAATCAAAGGTTAGAGATATAATAGGTCCCCTTAAAACTACGACAGGAGAAATGACTGATGATGAGTTAGAAATGTGTAGTACGTTAAATAGTCATTTGCGCTCTGTATTCACAAATGAAAACCTAGCACAGTTTCCAGAAGTTCATAAGGTATATAACGACAGTATAGAAAATATGTTGATGAATATCAATATTACTAGTAACGATGTGCTTAAAGTAATTAACAAACTGAAGCCTCATAAATCGCCTGGTCCAGACGAGGTATATGCTAGAATATTAAAAGAATGTAGAGATGAATTGAGTAATCCATTAGCAGTTTTATTTAATAAGTCATTAGAATCGGGCCTAGTGCCAGAAGCTTGGAAACTTGCAAATGTAGTTCCGATTTTCAAAAAGGGTGATAAATCAATAGCATCAAATTACCGTCCCATTAGTCTCACGTCAATCATAGGCAAGTTGCTAGAGTCAATTATTGCTACAAAAATCAGAAGCCACCTTGAAACATTCAACTTAATTCATTCTTCTCAGCACGGGTTCACCCAGGGACATTCTTGTCTCACAAATTTGCTTAGCTTTTTCTCAGAAGTATATGAAGCGGTAGATAATGATAAGTCATATGATATAATTTATTTAGATTTCAGTAAAGCATTCGATAGAGTCCTTCATGAGAGATTGATAAGGAAGGTAGAAGCACATGGAATAGGTGGATCAGTATTAAAATGGATTAGGTCATGGTTAACTGGTAGGAAACAAAGAGTCAGCATAAATGGATTAAAGTCAGACTGGGGTGCGGTCAAAAGCGGAGTTCCCCAGGGATCTGTATTAGGCCCTCTGCTGTTTGTTATATTCATTAATGATCTTGATTTAGGCATAACTAGTAGGATTAGTAAATTTGCAGATGATACCAAAATGGGGGAGTGATAAATTCAGACAGTGACTTTGAACACCTTCAAAGAGATCTAGATACCTTACATGAGTGGTCAGTAGACTGGCAAATGAATTTTAATACTGATAAATGCAAGGTACTACAGATAGGGAAGACGAATACAAACGTTAAGTATAAACTAGGTAACACGGAAATAGAAAACTCAGTTTGTGAAAAAGATCTAGGTGTATTTGTTAGCAACGACTTGAAACCTAGAAAACAATGTATTAGCGTTCGCAACAAGGCAAACAGGATTCTTGGGTTCATATCTAGGTCTGTGAGTAACAGAACTGCTGACGTTATCTTGAAACTTTACCTAGCATTAGTGAGGCCACACATGGATTATGCGGTTCAGTTCTGGTGTCCTTATTATAGAATGGACATAGATTCTTTGGAGAGAGTACAAAGAAGAATGACAAAAATGATCCATAATATTAGAAACCTTCCATATGAAGAAAGACTGAAAAGCTTAGGCTTACATTCATTAGAGAGGCGTAGAGTTAGGGGAGATATGATAGAGGTGTACAAGTGGGTAAGTGGGATTAACAAGGGTAAAATGGAAGATGTTCTGAAGCTCAGTAATAACGAAATAACTAGAACAAATGGCTTTAAATTAGATAAATTCCGATTCAGAAAGGATATAGGCAAGCACTGGTTTGGTAATAGAGTTGTGGATATGTGGAATAGGCTACCGAGTGCTATAGTAGGATCGGGGACGCTAGGGAGCTTCAAGACGAAGTTGGAAAGGCACATGGAAGTGCTGGGATGGGTGTGAAAGGGATCTGCCCTGTATGGGCCAGTCGGCCTCCTGCAGTATCCCACTTTCTTATGTTCTTATGTTCTTATGTAAATGTTTGCCGATGAAGCCAAGTTATTTCGGGAAATCAAGAACCATGCGGAATGTGAAGAGATGCAGAAGGATCTCTGTAAGCTCCAAGATTGGTCGAAGAAATGGCTGCTGAGATTCAGAGTCACGAAGTGTAAGAGGATGCTGTAGTGGATTTCTCCCTTACAAACGCTGTTTGTTGCTGAGTAGCCGATCCCCAGTGTATGCCTCGTGGTCTAGGTCAACCAGCGCCGCCCATGGAGCGGGGGTCAACTATCTACCCACGCCTACCTCCGCTATAAAAGACCTGACCTCGTGGTGACCACTCTCTTCTTCTAGCTACAGCCACAGCAAGCTACACCTCCTCCTCCGCCGCTGCCTGGCGGCCCTCGCTCCCGCCGGCGAGCATGGCGACCCACAAGCTGTCCTCCTCTGAGCACCCTCACCAACCAGCTCTCTCTACATCACGCTTGTAACCACGCTGCCACTTCCCAGCACCAAGCTGCATTGTACATCCAATACAACATGTATACAGAGAGCACATTGTGAGTTTCCTTTCTCCATCCATCCTGAGTGTGAACCCAAACATAACATACCCCACAATGCACCTGGGGCGTACCAACGGTAAGGAGGCGTATCGTATGTCCCAATGGGATGAAGAAACTGCACTATTTGAGACTGAATGTGAGAAGGACCTAAGTGTGTATGTTGACAATGAGCTGAAGTTCTCGGGCCATTGCGAGAAGAAAGTAAATCAGGCAAAAAAATTATTGGGTCTTATAAGAAGGTAGTTCAGATATCTAGACGGTCCGTCCCTCGTAACGATCTTCAAGAGTGAAGTGCTTCCCCATCTGGAATACTGTCACCCCGTCTGGTCCCCGAGATATGCTAGGGACTGTCAGTTGGTTGAAAATGTTTAAAGGAGGGCCACCAGACTGGTGCCTGTCCTTCAGCACCTCAGCTACCCTGAGAGATTGGAGCGCCTGAACTTGCCTAGCTTATACTACAGACCGGCAAGGGGTGACCTAATAGAGGTTGTGGGGTATGAGATTGTTTGGTTCACACTCAGGATGGGATGGAGAAAGGAAACTCACAATGTGCTCTCTATATACATGTTGTATTGGATGTACAATGCAGCTTGGTGCTGGGAAGGCAGCATGGTTACAAGCGTGATGTAGAGAGAGCTGGTTGGTGAGGACGCTCAGAGAAGGACAGCTTGTGGGTCGCCATGCTCGCCAGCGGGAGAGAGGACCGCCAGGCAGGCGGAGGAGCGAGGGCCGCCAGGCAGCGGCAGAGGAGGTGTTGCTGGCTGCGGCTGTAGGTAGAGAAAGAGATCACCCCGAGGTCAGGTCTTAAATAGCGGGGGTAGGCGTGACTTAGCAGTTGACCCCCGCTCCGTGGTGTATGGCGGCGCTGGTTGACCTAGACCACGAGGCATACACTTGGGAATTGGTGGGGTCGGCTAGGCAGCGACAAACAGCGTTTGTCGGGGAGAATTCCACTACAGTACTCCCCCTTCCCTCCAGGCGGTGTAGGAGACTTGTTGTCTGCAGAGTTGCTTAGCACATGCGAGGCAGAACGGGCGGTGCGTGCCTCATGTGATACAACGGCGATGGCGTGATGAGCCGGTCGCTGGAGACAACTGTCTAGATACACAATATCTGTGGGAGTAGAGAGGGAGAATAAGTGTGTGTGGAGGCGATGAATGTTGTGCTTCCCTCACGGCAGGTACAGAGTCGTCAGATGCGCCTGCTGGGGTGTGTGGACCTGGGTCAGGAGCAGGGGCTGTGTCAGCAGCAGCGGATGAGGGCTCGTGACAGCAGCTGGGTCCACGACTGCAGCAGGGTGCAGGACATTAGCAGGGAGTACCTGAGGGAGAATAAGGGTGTGTGGAGGCGATGAATGTTGTGCTTCCCTCACGGCAGGTACAGAGTCGCCAGATGCGCCTGCTGGGGTGTGTGGGCCTGGGTCAGGAGCAGGGGCTGTGTCAGCAGCAGCGGATGAGGGCTCGTGACAGCAGCTGGGTCCACAACAGCAGCAGGGTGCAGGACATTAGCAGGGAGTACCTGGGGGAGAAAAGAGGGGTGTGTGTGTCCGCACTCAGGAACAGAGGCCGCATCAGGGGCGGCAGGGGTTACTGCTGGGCCGGGGTCGGCGTCTGAGGCAGGACGGGTGTGCTGGGGTCGGAAGAGGAGCGACTGTCTGCTTAGAGTAGCAGAGCTGCTCTAGGGTGTCTGACCTGTGGTGTAGAGACAGTAGCTGTAGAGCCGATGAGAGCTGCTTCTGGGTGGATAAGCCAGTCTTCCATGTTGCTTGAAGACTGGGAGCGTGGTCAGTTTCTCCTCCATCCTGTGTGAGTGCGAATCTCCGGGAGTCACCATTTGTGGGGTATGAGATTGTTTGGTTCACACTCAGGATGGGATGGAGAAAGGAAACTCACAATGTGCTCTCTATATACATGTTGTATTGGATGTACAATGCAGCTTGGTGCTGGGAAGGCAGCATGGTTACAAGCGTGATGTAGAGAGAGCTGGTTGGTGAGGACGCTCAGAGAAGGACAGCTTGTGGGTCGCCATGCTCGCCAGCGGGAGAGAGGACCGCCAGGCAGGCGGAGGAGCGAGGGCCGCCAGGCAGCGGCAGAGGAGGTGTTGCTGGCTGCGGCTGTAGGTAGAGAAAGAGATCACCACGAGGTCAGGTCTTAAATAGCGGGGGTAGGCGTGACTTAGCAGTTGACCCCCGCTCCGTGGTGTATGGCGGCGCTGGTTGACCTAGACCACGAGGCATACACTTGGGAATTGGTGGGGTCGGCTAGGCAGCGACAAACAGCGTTTGTAGGGGAGAATTCCACTACAAGGTGTATAAGCATCTCAAGGGGCACTACTCAGTCTAATGTCCTTACTTGCAGCTGGCTGATGCTCGCCCCACAAGGGATCACAGCTCAAGATTGAAGAAGCCGCAAGTCCAGAAAACTGTGAGGGCAAACTTTTTCGGAGTGAGGGTTGTGAACTCTTGGAACAATCTACCAGAGAGTGTTGTGACGGCACCGAGTGTGAGCTCTTTCAAGAGAAGACTTGACCAACACTGGAGCGGGTTCAGGTACATTCAGGAGCCGGTGCATGCCCAGGATTTGCCAACAGTGCGTGACAGAGACGTACCGATCGCCCGGGCGGCTTGCGAGCCGATCAGTGGTGAAGAGGATAAAAGTAAAGTTAAAGACAGGCCTGGGTCAGATTTGAGAATGCGTACCAAACATCGCAGGTTTTCTCCGGGTACTCTTTCAGTTTTTCTCAACAATAATATTACTCACTAGTTACTACTCAGTCTAGTGTCCATATGTGGAGGTCACAACTTCAAGTTAAAGAAGCCACCAGAATAGAAAATTGTGAAAATCCAACCCGCTCTATCAGTTTGCAACCGACCATTGGCGAAGAGGATATCAACTCTCATGTAACGAGTTTAATTGCGTGATAGCTGTCATGCGAGATTTGTAGTAATTGGTAAGTATGAGTGACAGGGTAATTATTGACGACTGACTCACCTGCGATTTTGAATACTAAATGATTACAAAAACGGCGAAATTTCTGTGTGTATTATAGAGGATACTGTCGTAGTTTGTGCAGTTTTTTTATAACAACCTCAAAATGCCGCAATTTCACTGTTTTTACCTAGGACACTCATAGTTTGTGCATTTTTTATAACCTAACCTTAACCTAATGGATGCCCCTCGAAATCGAGGATGGCTGCCCCTAGGGCCACCTAGGCATGAATTTGGGTAAAATTGCAGATTACAGCAACCAAAGAATCTGATAAAAAAAATGTGTTACCTAACCTATCCCAATTTAATGTAGTATAAGAAAATGATCATAGAAAAAAAATGTTCTATCGATATGAGTGTAGTGAATTTACAGAATTATGTGGTTGCTGTTTTTACTGCAATATTACTTGAAGTTAAGTAAGGCGTAGAAGCTGTTGCCAAAACAACAACCACACCTTAAATTAACGTGTTGCATGACCCAGTGTCAAGGAACAGTCCGAGAAGAACAGACAGCTTGCCAACTGCACTGGCTAACCATTACCCCGGAATATGATGCGCATATTGATTAACAACCAGGTCTCCAATTGCTGCTGGGTAGACAGAGGTAAATGGCATAAAAAAAACTTGGGTATTATTATACTTTCGGACATAGCACCCCCGAAAGTTATAAACTACTGAAACATTTAGATGTCCCTATTCTGAGCATTTCGAGCCCCATGTATACATGGCAGAGATGGATAATAATGACACAATTGAATTTAATTGATTTTAAGTAGTTTTCAGTCTTCGTCTGTGAGGCATGTTATCTGCTCATCACTCATATGTCATCCAGTCGTGACCAATGTGGTATCGATATCAACATGCAAATTTTTTTCGACCAATCATATTTGATTTTTTCAAAGGAAGCAGCCTAGGTACGATTTTAATTTCAGTGAACAGTTTCACAATGGCCTTGGTGGAGGTTGGTTGTCATTTGTGCTCCTACGGTTATTTTAAGTTTATTGCTGAGTTTTACGAGAAAGATGATTATTCTATGCAATTCTTACGTATCCCTGGTCCTTCCACTTCTAATTAAGGTATCGTACTTTCAGACATGGTATGCCCCAAAGTTTTTAACTACTGAAACATTAAGGTTAGTTTAAGCTAGGCCTACCTTGGGGTCCGGGGGCAGAGCCCCTGACTAGTGGTTAAGTTAGGCCTACCTGGGGTCCGGGGGCGAGCCCCCGGGTTGGAGTTAGGTTAGGTTTTGTTAAGTCAGATGACTCGTTTTCTCCCCCACCCAAAAACCCCGATTTCTCAGGCTCTCCCTCATTATTGTTTGGGGGGGGAGCAAAAACTATCAATTTCCGCCAAAAATGAAGGTCAGATTTGTTTAAAACACCCCAAAATACACTGGAAAAACATATTGGTCAACCCCTAGGGGACTCATGTCCTAAAGTAAAAATTTACCGAAACTTGCCCATAGTTTCACCCTGCCTGGAGATTGAACTTGGGTCCACTCGCTTGCAAAACAAGCATGCTAACCATTACACCACAGGTCATCATAACCTCACCTAACCTTAATATAAAACCTAGCATAACTTAACACGTGCCGCAATACCACCAAGAAGACGAAGTAATGCGCACCTTAGGCGCCTAAATATCTGTCCAACGAGGCATTTGCACAAGAAATGATTATCCTATCAGTACTTTCTGATGAAAATATAGTAAAAATATAAAAACCAAAACAAATAACTCGTTGGCGGGTCAGTCGCCAATATTAACCAATTTCGGTCTTGCATTTAGGGTTCCAAAATTTTTAATCGTAGAATCAAGCCCATTGCATTGTTTCTGATTAATTTGGGTAAATATTTGTTTAATGGCTGTGGCTCCTTTTTGTTATGAGAATAGTTTTTTTGGTGTAATCAGGTTTGTTTTACTCGAACCTGACCTTCATTTTATGGGGAAATGAGCAAATTTTGAAACAATGTTTTTTTTTTTTAAATTCACTTATTTGCAAAAGAAATGAAGGTTAGATTTGAATAAAACACACCTAAATACACACACACACACAAAAAAAAAATGCCTGTTTCCTGTTTTCATAAATATTTCAGCTACCAAATTACTGTGAAACCTAACCTAATCTAACCGAACCTAACCATATCAAATCAACCTAACCTAACCAAATCAACCTAACCAAATCTAACCGAACCAAATCAAATCAACCTAATCCTAGAATAACCAAATGCCAAAATCTTGCAGCAGCCAGTAAGCAAATATTAACCCAAATTTATATGATTCTAATATATTATTATTGGCTTTAATAATTTTGAATTTTAAATCTTATGCAATGCATAAAGACACCAAAGAAAGGCTAACCTAAGATGTCCTATCTTAACCTAACAAAATCTTACCCAACAAAATCTAACCTAACTGAACCCATCCTGACATTTCATATACATATTCATGCATGGTATTTTTCCCAAAATATTTCAACAGGGTAAATTTGTATTTATTTTATATGTGGGGGCACAGGGTATATCACATTTTACCACGTCCGAATTTCACTCTGACTATAATATATATTCTTATGTAAAATTTAATTCTAAGAGGGGTTTCTTTTCTGCAACTTTTCCAAAAAATTTCGTTATCATGTTCAAAATTGCGATTTTCGGATTTGAAGGCTACCTAACACAGCCTCAGGGCACCCAAACCAAAGCGTGCAGCTGTTCTACATATGATTTAGTCTAAAGGCTGCTTTTCTGACCTCATCCTTGCTTTCTTACATGTTTCAGCTCCTCTGGGTGCTGAAAAAATGTTTAGATTTCACGTAAAACTTAAGAATTTTAAGTTTTTCTTCAAAGAATAGGTGCAGCTCACCAGCTAATCGAGTAGCGGGAGACTTGCCACCTCCACGTGTAGGTTTACACGCCTGTTCTTCCTGGAACCCTGAAAAGTGTGGCCTCATAAGATCTTATACCTGTATTATGATCTTATGAGGACTTTCAGCTCCTATGAGCATTAACGATGGCTTCAGCCTCTTCATTAGCCACTCGAACCTGAAAAGCTCTTAAGTATGTCCTGCTTCGATCAGAACACTGGGAGCATTTCTCGATGGTCTATCCTGGCTCTCACCCACCCATCTCTCCTCTCGTGACTGTACACAGCTTGGGAAGCAGTTGAGACATCCTGTACAACTCTCTCGCAGGACTGAGTAGGAACAGAGAAAGCGTCCACTTTGAGTGGAGTTTTCCTGAGATCCTCGAGCTCAGTCAAGATCATCTTGCAGGTGAAAATAGGCTTAAGATCTCAAGTTTGGTCCTGAACACGTTGTTTCAAGCCTGAAGCTGCTGAGGAACCAGATTCCCGAGGTCAGGAACATCATCTCTGCTGCACCACGCACATCCTGAGAACATCCTGGCTTCATTCCTGTGCAGTGAGGATGAGCATCAGAGAGCTTTTGATGTGAGGCAGATAGAGAAGATCAGAGAAGGAAGAGACTCTGGTGATACGAGGGCCCATAAAAATCCCGACGTCAATCTGCAAGCCGCTTCACCTGAGGATCTCATCAACTGGGAATCAGAGAATATTTACGAGCCTATTTTCACCTGCAAGATGGCCTTGACTGAGCTCGAGGATCTCAGACAAACTCCACTCAAAGTGGACGCTTTCTCTGTTCATACTCAGTCCTGCGAGAGAGCTGACATTGCATCAGGTCAGGTCAGGTTATGAGACCCACTAATCCCCCACCCAAGAAAGGGTGACCTGACATTCCATCAGGTCAGTAGTATGAGACCACTAATCCCCTCACCCTACCTCCACCTGACATTGCATCAGGTCAGGTCAGGTTCCGGCTAACAGAGATATTACTTGTAGTTAGTTGACTGAGATGAAGACTGAGAGATAGCAGTGAACAACACACACAGTAGTGGCAGGACACAGACTGAGTGGATGTAAACAAACTCCACACCCCAAGCGGCGGGTGTGTAATTTTATGGAATCCCACTTGATTTAGTGAACTAGTTTGCTAAATCGAGTGAAAATAACAGAAATTCAATTTAGCAAAAATTTTGATTTAACAGAGAGGAGTGGATAGAATTAGTTCATTAAATTGAGAAAATACTGTATAAGTGAAAAGTGAAAGTTTACTGTTGATTCCCCTTCGTGCTGCAGAGTCTGGTTAAGGGGGGTCCCCTGCTCCCAGTATTTTCTTTACCCAAGCTTAGTTTTAGATTTTTCTGCTCATACCATATTTCCATAAATATAATAAGATAAATTCTCTTTATGTCTTTGAAAACTTTATTTTTACAAATTAAAAGAAAATCAGCAATCAGAGGTACACTCACAATGGTCAATGTTAACAGCTGAACTCTTGGATATGGTCTTCATCCTCCACAAGCACAGATAGCTTATAATACAATACTGTACACAATATGATAAGGACACCATTGAAAAACAATATGGCTTCTCCCTCGGTCCTCCTTGAGGAAGAACAATAAGTTTATGAATACAGTTCACTTATTAACCAGTGCTACTCATAAGGTATTGGCAATGAGTCAAAACCCATAATATGGGTTTTGGTTCAACAATGTGATTCTCATCATTTATAAATTGAATACTGTAGGTTTAAGATCCTAATGCATGGAAAGAAAAAAAATATATGGGATATGTGCAGGTCATAGACTCACGACTGAATAGTGAAAGCTATAAAAAAAGAAAAAAAGAAGACGTTCAAGGTAGTTAAACCCCCGATATGAGGCTCTCCATCGTTTATTGACAATTTAAATGAGACTGAAATAAGAATTTATTTATTTACGATCAGAGGACAACACACAGCAACAGGCCAGAATTTGTCAGCAGAATTTTTACGGTACATATTAAATTTCTTTGCACACAAAGCACTTAGATACTTGATTTAAGTGTCATATAATCAGTGTTTTGCCATGTTTTTACCCAGCAATTTCCCTCATCCTTCATGCCCTGCCCAATATCGGTAATCTATGATCGTAGTTAGGGAAAATGGAAAACATACTTATACGGTAACCTGTAATTGAAATAAAGAGTTGTTGTATCGATTTTTTTAGTTAATATTATCCAAAGAACAACTGCGGAAAATATGAATGGAATAGTGTACAGTATATAAACGCATTCAGGTGCTAACCATCTGCTCCACATTTACCATATTCTGTATCTGTACTGTTCTTGTTGGGTTGTCAGGCAGATGGATAACCCTTTCTCTTTCTAACTCTTGTAAGTTCATAATTTTTTACTTTGATTTAAATTATGAGCGAGTTCAACTCATCATAAACCCGTATACAGTATATAGTTGAGATTAATGAGGTTTCACTATACAGGTTGTACCTCTCTAATCCGGCAACCTCGGGACCTGACCGGTGCCGGACCATGGAAATTTCCGGACCATGGAAATTCACCCTTTTCCTGGACAGATAGTGACTTGCGCTTACATTAGCACCACTTTCACTGCTTCATGGTCTCTTTGAAGACATATTGAAGGGTTAAATGTCGTACAGTAGCTTCTCAAATTTTGCGAGTTTTTAATTCAACGTTTTTTTATTTGGACACAAAAAACACCTCAGTTGTACCCCGATTTACGCGGTCAATTGAACCCACAGTGTACCGTGTTAAGTGAAATCCGCGTAAATGGAACAACAGAACATATGGGATTAATTCCAATAGAGACTGGCCCGACCCCCAAACTCCATTTTTTGACGACACACAACTATGTTGTAGTAAAAATTTTATCTTAACTTTATGATGGTATGCACAAACAAGTATATAGAAGAGGTTAGGTTATGAAAAATAAAGGTTAAGTTATGAAAAATAAAGGGTAGGTTAGGAAAACTAAAAGTTAGGTGTAACACTTACTTTAGTAGAAGAGATGGGTCGGCATACGGGGCCTGGAGGGATGAAACTGCCGCGGCTAGAACAAGCGTCGTCTTTCCTCCCTCCCTCCCTCCCTCCCTCCCTCCCTCCCTCCCCGGGTGGACACATCATATTACTTTAAACCAATTACAGCTAGCAGCAGAGGGGGGTAGGGATGCATGGCCAATCACAGTCCGATACGTCATATGACGTCAGTGATAACGCAACAGAGACATGCACTGCACAACCTTACCGCGCGGCTTGCCCAGGCGGAGGCAGGAGGAGGGAGCAGGCGGGTGGGGCGAATCTAAAAATAGCGTCGAGCCGGACACTCTGCGCGTATATGGGTAGATGAACCGCGTTAAGTGAAAGTTCGGTTCTGGCGAGGCACCGCGTATATGAGAAATCACGTAAAGTGAAACCGCGTAAAGCGGGGTACAACTGTACATAATTTAAAATTTTGATGGCAGAAACTCGAATTTCGACGGGTTTGAGCGGTCTGCCAACGTTTAGGCATGCACAATCTTGTAAACAGCGTCATCTCTCTTATGTGCAAAAGACTCATTATTTTTTATTACTGAATGTCTTTTTTATTGAATTAATGTTTATGTGTGCAAAATGAGCAATACAATTCATAAATAATACGTCAAATATTAAAACACCCGAGGAAATGAACAGCATTGTTTTCGTTGATTGCAAAACCAGTGACTGAGTGGTTCTACATATAGAGCAAGAAAATAAGACCCTGGTTGTAGCTGTAGTAAAATTAATGTAAAAAATTAATATGCTTGTTTTAAGTATAGTGATCCCTTGGTTAACGAGCGCCTCGGTTATCGAGATTTCGGTTAACGATTTACCTTCCATAAGATTCTTAACTTCAGTTAACGAGCAATCCCTCGATTAACGAGTTTCTTACGAGCCGACCTGAACATGTTTTCGCTTGCACTTGGCGGTCAACCTGCTGTAGTATTAGTCCGCCAATACAGTAATCGGTTCTAGGGCTTAAATTCCTTACTATTTTAGTAAATATCAAGAAGTTTATACTATTCAATAATTTTAAAAGTTTAATATTAACTTTTTTAGTCATTTTAACAATTATTGAACATAATTGAAGGTAAAGAAACTAGTTTCTGGCATGCCATCCAGCCTGTTAACACACCAGACAGGCGTTAGACTCTCTCTGTTTTCAGTGGAGGTAACATCTTGCTTGAGACTCTTCAACTGAACACTTTTTTTCTGTGTTTCCAAGCAAATTATTGGTCATTTTGAAATTTATTTTACATATTGATAATATATAATGCAGTGCAGTGTTGATTTAAAGAAAATAATCTTGAATTACACCAAGAGAACTAAAATTTTATGGGTGAAATGGTGCCAGGGGGTGACTTCTCTTCCACCCCAATGCCTTCTCTTCTCCCTTCTCCTCCACCCCCATTCTAATTCCCATCATCATCATCCAGGAGCCTTCTACATACACACCTCAAAGTAAGTGTACTTTTCTACCTTTTTTGTTGAATTTAGGCAATTTTCGGTGAGCTGGAACCAATTACCCAAAAACCCATTGAAACAATGGTTTCGGTTAACGAGTTTTTCGGTTAACGAGCAACCTGCTGGAACGGATTGTGCTCGTTAACCGAGGGACCACTGTAATGTTATCTAATGTTAATAAATAGAACAATAAAAGTAGCAAACCATTTATGTTAAAGAAAAAAGTGAGACTGCGCGTATGTAAGTGCGCACATGTGAAAAACATATCGTCATTACATAAGAATATGAAAGCAACACTTGTTTACTGTTCATATATGTTTTAATAAATGTTTCTGATTTTTTTATTGAATTAATGTTTGTGTGCAAAATGAACAATACAATTCGTTAATAATTCGTGAAATATTAAAACACACGAGGGCATTGTTTTCGTTAATGTTTACAAAACCAGTGACTGATTGGTTCTACACATAAAACAAGAAAATAAGACCCTGGTTGTAGCTGTAGTAAAATTAATGTAAAAATTAATATGGTTGTTTGAAGTAATGTTATTCAATGTTAATAAATGGAATAACATAAGTAGCTAACCATTAATGTTAAAGAAAAAAAGTGAGATCGCGTATGTAAGTGCGCACATGTGAAAACATATCGCCATTACTCTACATAAGAATATGAAAGCAACACTTATATACTGTTCATACATATTGAAGGGTTAAATGTTGTACTCCGTATAGACAAACAGAGAGAGAAAGCCGAACTGCCGGATGTATGGTAAACAAACCTTTATTTCCCGCGGCTTTGTTGTTGTTGTTTTTTTTTACTGGGATTAGCCCACCCGGGCACAGGTCACTGATCCACATTGGAGCCTGAGGGGCAAAAATGTAATACTCCTGTAATAATAATAATAATAATTCAGATAAATAAAATAAAAATAGCTGCCTATCTACCTATTGGGCAAACTAAAATCGTTCTGGACCACAGAATGCCGGACTAGAGAGGTACAACCTGTACTATTCTGAATTCACAGCCACTGGGATTCTGTACTACTATTTGTTCTCATTATAGCAATACTGTATCTGTTAAGTTCTGTATAATGGTGTCAGTTTGTTGTAACTTTGCACTGTTTAGGTATGTGTGATGTGCTATACTGCATATAGAATGTGTACAGTATAGCTTTTAAGTATGATATGCTACACTCGGTATTTAAAGAGATGTGAGACTGAATCTTTTTTTTTTCTTTTGCAGATGTGTAGTTTTCCTCTTTCAAGAAATCTTTTGCTGTCAATAGGGCACAAAGTTATACATATGAAAAGTCTCACCATGGCTGCCAAAGTAGGTTGCAATTTGCAAGAAAATATTACAAGAATAAAGGAAGCCTTTATGGGTGGTGTGAATGCTGTTCAACCACATGAGCTTATTAGAAAACACATAACACAAGATTCAGAGAAATTGGTTATTAATGGAATCAAGTTTGATCTCCAACAAAATGTTTATATGATTGGATTTGGAAAAGCTGTCATTGGAATGGTTCGACCCATTGAGAGAGCTTTGACAACTTCGGATGGTGTGACTCATCTGAAGAGAGGAATCATAAGTGTTCCATTTGGAATACAGGAAACATTTATAAATCACCCTGATATATTACCCGAGGAAAACTCTCTTGTTGAAATAGTGGAGGGAGCCAAAGATAACATTCCAGATGAAGCTGCATTTACTACTGCTAAAAGAATTGTGTCACTGGTGAAAAAATTGGGAGAAAAAGACATCTTATTAGTCTTGATATCAGGGGGAGGGTCAGCTCTCCTACCATATCCTATTCCTCCCCTTTCATTGAATGAGAAAATTGAAATTATAAAATCACTTAGTCAGGCTGGGGCAAGCATCACTGATCTCAATACAGTTCGAAAAGTTCTATCAGTAACAAAAGGAGGTGGCCTGGCTGAGCTAACAAAAACAAGAATTATTTCCTTAATCCTGTCAGATATCATCAACAGTCCCCTTGACATGATTGCCAGTGGTCCAACAGTATGTAACAGAGACGCACCTCAATCTGCTGAAAAAGTCCTAGAAAAATACAATATATCAACTCCAGGCCACATCAAGGCAATCATAAAGGGAAAAGCAACCAGTTCCACAGTGGCAGAATTTTCCCATGTTACTAATTACATCATAGGCAGTAATAAAACAGCTTTGTTGGGTGTTGAAACTTCATTATTTAGTCAAACTGGGAGTCACTGTTACCCATTAATCTTATCATCATCCCTGAGAGGTGAAGCATCAGAAATTGGTAGGAAAATGGCAGAATTAGTAGTAGCCATCACTCAGATACTAGGTGGTAAACAAGATGACCAGCTCTCAAATTCACTACTCTCAGATTTATGTGTAGATGTGGACAAGAAAAAAGCTATCATAGATACTCTGGAAAAGATTAGAAAATTTCAGAGCCCTATCTGGTTAGTGTTTGGTGGTGAGACTACAGTTACTGTGACAGGCTCTGGCCGAGGAGGAAGAAATCAAGAGATGGTCCTGTCTGCTAGTGTCGCTTTAGAGGAGGTAATATATTTTCTACAGGAACACTGTTGTAGTGACCTTGTGCTGAAAGCTGTTTTAACTTTAATCCATTTTTATGCTTATCTTTTCTGAATTAACAATTTCTTCAGATAATTTTTTTGTTTCTCAAGATATCACCACATATTTTGATGACATTCATATCATTAGTCACATTTCACAATGATGTAACTTTCTTACGGAGTACTGTACAGTATACAGTATATGTGTCTCATATAACCTGCAGGTCCTCAAGTGTTAGGCTGGTAAGTTCCATTGAGTGATATTAGACTTCCAAATTTTGTTTCAGTTATCCCTCAAGCTGATATTTATGATACTTATCTGTTAGATTGGGACTTAGGGGAATAATTACATCTCTTTTTTTTCACATTTTATTCTCGCTCAAGGTTTGCTTTCATTGTTTCTAGGATATCGTTTTAATGGTATCTTTTCTTTGGTCAAGTAAGGTTTTTTTTCACTCCTTTCTTTAAAGTTTTATATGATTTTTTCTTTATTGTATATTGTGAGAGTGGGAATTTAGTTCTTGCCCTTGACCCTAGTTTTATAGTACAAGCGTATCCCGATAACCGATGCCTATAAGGACTGTGAAAAGTCGTTGGTTAGTGAATCAACGGTTATCAAAGCAATTAACCCCATAAGAATAAAACAAATTCAAGGGGTTAGGGACTGGCCACACCCCAAAAAATTCCATCTACCCCTGATATACTGTATCTCTGTTGTGCACACTGTCACAGGAAATAAAGCAGACATATAAAGCAAGCATAATGAGCATTAAATAAGGAATGTAAAGCATAAATTGAAACTGTTATTTACTTGTGTTGAGGATGGTAGAGCTGGTCTAGGGTGGCAAGTTCCAGTCTCTACCACTCTTTGCTGGTCCATTGCCACTCTTATTAAGCTGGCCCTAAAAGGCGCAGCACAGGAGGAACTATCACTGGGGCTTTTAGGCATGATTGCGTAACACAAGAAGTCGGAAATATTGAAAAAACACGAAGTCGAAGACACATGGTAAGTGTAAACAAGTGCAGAGAGGCAGCGCACAGAGCGCTCTCATGGCAAGAATTCGCACCACCACCACCCACCAAATTCAAAACAGCTCTGCTGCTCCTTTCCTGATCATCGGATCTCCAGGGTTTCAATGAAACTTATGGGGTATTTCTCCTGTATATCAGCTGTTAATGGACATCAGTTTTCGGGGTATACGGTACCTGTATCCTGGATTGAATATTATAGGGATAAATGGTACCCTAAGCATCTTTGCTGATATTGCTTGGTTATGTGTTATTAGTTTAATGGATTTCCTGTTTGTGAGAATATAATGGTAGCTCAGGTAGGTCTCTTGTCGCTCACACTGAACGCGACCTACAGGAGATCCTGAACACCTTTGCAGATGTGCTTGCACACTTCGGCCTTGAGGTGAATATACGTAAGACTCGGATTCTCTTTCAGCCTGCCCCTGGTTCAGACACGCCTCCACCAATCATCCAGCTTAACGGTTCTGCCCTCTCTAATGTTACCCACTTTCGGTGTCTCGGCTCCCACCTGTCCACCACCGTGGGCATCAATGAAGAGATTCAGCATCAGTGTGCATCTGAAGCCTTTGGCAGACTCCAAAACCGTGTCTTCAGCTGTGGGGAGCTGAAATTATCTACAAAGTTACACGTACTGTATATCGAGCAGTGGTCCTCCCCACCCCGCTATATGGCAGCAAGGCATGGGCCACATACAGGAGGCACCTCAATGCACTAGAAAACTTTCACCTACGTAGTTTACGTTCCATCCTCTGAGTTCGCTGGGAAGATAAGAGAACAAATGCCAGTACAGTGGTCCCTCGGTTAACGAGCGCCCCAGTTAACAAGATTTCGGTTAACGAGCTACCTCCCATAAGATTCTTAACTTCGGTTAACGAGCAATCCCTTGATTAACGAGTTTCTTACGAGCTGACCTGAACATGTTTTCGCTTGCACTTGGCGGTCAACCAGCTGTAGTATTAGTCCGCCAATACAGTAATCGGTTCTAGGGCTTAAATTCCTTACTATTTTAGTAAATATCAAGAAGTTTACACTATTCAATAATTTTAAAAGTTTAATATTAAATTTTTTAGTAATTTTAACAATTATTGAACATACAGTAATTGAAGGTGAGGTCACTAGTTTCATGCGTGCCATCCAGCCTGCCAACACACCATACAGGCGTTAGTCTCTCTGTCTTTTCAGTGGAGGTAACATCTTGCTTGAGACTCTCTTTAACTAAACGCTTTTTTTCTGTGTTTCCAAGCAAATTATTGGTTATTTTGAAATTTCTTTTACATATTGACAATATATAGCGCAGTGCAGTGTTATTTTAAAGAAAATAATCTTGAATTACACCCAGTTTAAACTTAAAATATCACGTGTTTAGATTTTTTGAATCCAGCATGGAGCTTAAGAGATCAAGAAAAGCGATTTCAATCCAACCAAGCAGGAAATTATAAAAAAAATATGAAGAAGGCATTAGAACAAATGCTCTATGCAAAGAATATGGCATGTCGACATCAACTGTGTCGACAATTCTTGCACAGAAAGACAAATTTAAAGAAGTGAAAGTGAGAGACAAATCTACCAGTGTTTTTAAAAGTAGATCCCTAATTGCAGAAACAGAGAGGTTACTTCTCATCTGGCTTAGGGAAAAACAGATGAAAGGTGATTCAGTTTCTATTGAATTTATTTGTGAAAGAGCCAGGGAGATTTACGAACATTTAAAGACAGATCAACCTGGTTCTTCAGGCACAATTTGAAGATATTAGGGCCAGCAAAGGCTGGTTCGAAAAATTTAAGAAAAGATGTGACTTTTTTTAGTGTAGTTCGCCATGGTGAGGCTGCTAGTGCTGATAAGGAAGGGGCAGCAAAGTTTTTAGTGGAATTTAAAGAACTGGTGGATGAAGAAAATTAACTTCGACAGCAAGTGTTCAATGTGGACGAAACTGGGCTGTTTTGGAAAAAGATGCCCAAAAGAACATTCATCACCAGAGATGAAGCCTCTTTACCTGGGCATAAACCCATGAAAGACTGTCTCACTTTATTGCTTGGTGCCAATGTTTCAGGGGATTTCCAACTGAAGCCTATGCTTGTCTACCACTGAGAACCCCAGGGTGTTCAAACAACAAAAAGTGGTAAGAGGAAAGCTTGGAGTTTATTGGAAGTCCAACCGTAAGGCATGGGTGACAAGACAGCTCTTTAATGAATGGGCTGTTGAGGTGTTTTGCCCTTCTGTCAAGAGCTACCTAACCACCAATAAACTCCCTTTAAAGACTTCTCCTCATGGATAATGCCCCTGGGCATGGCCCTGAACTTGCCAGAACTTTAGAGTATCAATTTGACTTTGTGAAAGTGTTGTTTTTGCCTCCCAACACTACATCATTCATACAGCCAATGGACCAGAATGTGATCAGCAACTTTAAGAAGTTGTACATGAAGAAAATGTTAAAAGTTGTCATCAGGCAACTTCCACTGATCCTGAACTAACAATGAAACAGTTCTGGAAGACACAATTCAACATCCTGGAGGCTGTAAAATTGATTGTGTCATCATGGCAAGAAGTCTCCACTAGATCCCTCATTTCTTCATGGAAAGCACTGTGGCCATCAGTAGTCCATGATTTTGAGGGATTTGAGGAAGAAACGGAGTTGGACCAGGAGATTGTGTCCATTGGTCAGTCATTGGGCCTTGAAGTGGAGGAGGAGGATGTGGAAGAGCTTGTGATGTCTCATGTGGAGGAACTTACTCCTGATGACTTGAAGCAACTGGATGAGATGTTAGAGGCTGACAATGGTGATGAGGAAAAGGAAAGTGATGACCATATGTCAACTTCAGAGTTAAAAGATGTCATTTACTACTGGGGGAAGTTCAGGAAACTGGCTTCAAGGCACCCAGATGTGGAACAATCTGAACTAACATTGTGTCATGTTGAGGACACAATGGTCTCCTTCTTTAAACATAAGTTAATGATGAGGAGGAGAGATGCCCTACAGACCAAAATTGACACCTTTTTCAGTAAAAGGCAGAGGGAACAAGATGCTAGCCCTCAGCCTTCCACTTCAAGAAGGAGAGAGGATGTTCTTGGTGGAGAATCTGTCAGTCCAGAGGTTCCTGACATTTTCATGGAAGGTGACTCGCCTTCTAAGAAGCAGTAAAATGCTTCTCCTCCACCTCCATTTCCTTCTCTTCTCCCTTCTGCTCCTGCACCTCCCACTTCAAATTCACATCATCATCATCATCCAGGAGCCTTCTACATACACACCTCAAAGTGAGTGTACATTTCTACCTTTTTTGTTGAATTTAGGCAATTTTCGGTGAGCTGGAACTAATTACCCAAAAACCCATTGAAACAATGGTTTCGGTTAACGAGCAACCTGCTGGAACGGATTGTGCTCGTTAACCGAGGGACCACTGTATACCAATTTATGTTTTTTATTTTTTTTTACTGTTGTATACATACTTAATATTCATACATACTGAAAAAAAAAGAAGAAAGAAATTTTATATCATAAGGTCAAAAACCTAAACATAATGAAACACTTCTTATGACCGTTGGAGTCACCTGGATTGTGTGAGCGGGGTTGCAGATATCAGCTACCTGTGTTGCCAACTGGCAATGTGGTATTTATTTATTTATTTTTATTTATTAGTAGGTATAATGTTTATTTCTCACAATTACTGGTACTACAGTATACATGTGACCCTTGTCCTTAATAGCCTTGGATAATGAGGAGTACAGTATACAGGTGCTCCCCAACTTACGATGGGGTTAGGGACCCAAATCCATGTCGTAAGTCCGGATGGTTGTAAGTCCGACATGGATAAAAAAATAAATAAAAAATAAATAAAAAATAAATAAATAAAAAATAAAAAAAAATAAATAAAATCTACAATGAAATACAGTACAGTAAAAGTATTAAATAGTGAGGAATGGATACAGTACAGTAAAAGTAATAAATAATGAGGAAT